CGCCGGGCCGGGGCGCTGCGCGCCCCCCCGAGGCTCGGGCAGCGCCGTCGGGTTTCTCCCCTTCCCCCCGCGCCGCGCCGGATCGGGCCCCCTGGGGACACGTTTGGGGCAGACGAGGAGGGTTTTTTTGAGGGGGGGATAAGAGGCTCGGGGCTGGGTGGCTGGAAAAGGCTCATCACGGGCGTAATCTGGCTCCGGTAATGAAACCGCATTTGATTTTCCAAGCGGAGGCATCGCGCCCGCCGCACCGAGGCGGGCGAGCCGCAAAGCAATACAAATCAGAAATGAGATTTGGAAGTCCTAATGAACCTGATTGCATGCACATTTATAATCCCCCATGGCTTTAAATGAAATCAGATATAATCAGGAGCTTGTTGGGGGTGGGGGGAGAATGAGGGGGAAAGGGAGTGTTTACGGGCAGAGATTGGGAAGTGCTGCCGTATTAGCAAAGATGCGGCTCCTTCTATTGATGTCGAAAATGATGGATAATGTGAGAATGGCAAATATACTATTTGTCTAATGGCTCTGCAATTAAATTCCCCTGTAAATGACCCATGCCTCATTTCATCCTAATCTATGGAATTTTGATTGAATTCGTCAGCTCTAATTGAAAAATACTGCGCTTTAATGTCCGCGCTGCAGCGGCAGGACCGCGGCGGCTGTAATGAGCCGCTGCCCCCCTGACCCGGGAATATTTGCGACTTTTCTTCGGGATCGGGAGCGGGCGGATTCGGGCGCCGGAGCCCGTGGGAAAGCGGCCGCGCGCGGGGGCGGGCGGGCGGCTTCGCGCGCAGGAGACCCCCTCCGCGGAGCCAGTGGGGAACCAGGAGCCCCTGCTTCCAGTGCGCCTCAAATATGTTGACTTGGGCTATTTAAATACATGTATATTCACATATACATCTATCTCTATATATATACAAAAAAAAGAAGGGGAAAAAATAATAATAACTATCTCCCGTTATGAACTGAACGAATTTCGGGACACGAACCTGGATTACCGAACCCAAATCTCGTTATTTTACTGTATTTTTTCCAACCTCCCCTTATACACTGCGTTATTATTCCTCCCTTTTTAGAGTGAAAATCTCGAGGAGGGGATCCTCTTGGCGACAGGAGACTTCAAATTTATTCGAAACCGCGAAATAAAACAAAAACACGAAATTAAATATATATATATATTTAAAAAAGAAAAAAAAAGAAAAGGAAAAAGAAGAAGAAGAAAAGGAAAAAAAAAAACCCACAATCAAAAACCCCGGTTTATCTCGCGTGCAGGGGATGGGAGCTGTGCGTGAAGGAGGGGGAAAACCCCCTGCCCCCCCGGGCCTCCCGGGCCCCCCCCCCCCCGCAGCGCCCGGCTCCTGCCCGCAGTGCGGGGAGCTCAGGCGGGACCGGGCAGGGGAGCTCGTGGTGATGAAGGAGCAGAGGGTCCGTCCCCGCTCCTAAAAACCGAGAGGGTGGACGGAGCTGAGAGGTGGGGGGAAGGAGGGAGCGCCCCAAGGCGCTGCACGCTCTTCACTCCCCCCCCCCTCCAGCCGGGCAAAGGAAAAGTCACTCGCCAAGGGCCAAATTCTGCTCCCCACTCCCAGAGACTGAGATGAGCCCGTGTTGTGGCCACCTCATGAGCCCCAGGACCAGCCGTGGCCACTGCTCAGGTGCTGCAGGTGCTTGATGTGGAGCAGGGAGGGCTGGGACAGCCCGGGGATGGGGACAAGGAGCCTGGTCTGGCCCCAGAGCTGCCCTCAAACACCAGCCCATGGCAGATCCTGTTGCCTCCCCAGCTCGGTAGCTGCCCTAAGCAGCTACATCCTACATGCCCTGACTTTGGAGGGCTCCAGCATCTCCCTAGCATTTGCATCCATCTCCTCCATGCTTGGGGAGAAGCTGCTGGTGTCCCCTGTGTCCGATGCTGCCGAGAGAGGCCCATCCTCAGGTTGCTCTCTCCCTGCTTCCTCTCCCTCCTTGGGACCTTCTCAAGCGGCTCCTTGCTTGGCCCATGATCCCAGCCCTCACCAGGTCTTCACTTAAACCGGAGTGAGTCCCCTCATTACAGCCTGCTCCATTTGGCCAGCAGGCCCTGAGAGGGGTTTTGAACAGAACTGGTCAGAGGCCGCTTGATGGTTGGTGGTCACCCAGCTGAGGTAGCCCAGGACATCTCTTGGAAAGCCCTTCTCCACTGTGCTGCCTCGCTGCTCCAAGAGAGCCATGGCCACGGACACCTTAGCAAGCAGCGGGTGAGCACTTGGTGACCCTCCAAGGGTCCTTCTGCCAGGTTCCTTCTCAATGGGACATCACCTCAGGGCCAGGAAGGAGGATTTATGGTATCACCATCACAGCACCATGGCCCATGTCCTCCTGGGCTCCCCCCATGGTTCCCACTTATCCCTCGGAGCACAGCGGGCCTCCCCGCTGCCTGCTGCACTTCCCAGGCACGATCACGCTCCGCTTGCTCCGCCGGCAAGCGGGAATCGCTGGCGTTTTCTTCTTTTTCTTCTTTCTTTTTTTCCTCCAGAGAAAAATCAGCTAATTATGTGCTCGAACAAAAGCCTATTCTCACCCGAAATAATGCGGCCGCCTTGCCGAGGCACTTGTTTGTGGGCAAATTTTGAAGCGGGCTGACAATAAAAACAGCTGCGGGAGTTGGGTGTCTGTACCCAGCACCACTCCCGACCCCTCGTCGGGGAATGAGATCCCCCCGCCAGGGGATCCTGAAAGGACCTCTTGGAGTTGCCTTTTTTTTGTGTGTGTGTTTTCTTTCCTCTTGTTTTATTTTATTATTTTTTTAAAACCTTTTTTTCTGCCCATCTTTAAACAACCAAAACACACAAAGTGCCTCCCCACAGTACAGAGCTGGGACCTGTGGAAGCGAACAGGGCAAGTCAACATTTGCAAGTCCCTCAGTGTGGGAAAGGAGCCCCAGATCTTTGCCCAGATCCGCATCTCCCACCACCGGCAGACATTGCCATCACTGTCAAACCTGCCCACATTTCAGCTGCTTCAGAGTTTTTTTTTTCTTTTTTTTTCCATCCAGATCCAACCTAAAAGTGGTATTCTGCATGCACAGAATACTTTTCATTTATATATATATACACACACACATATTTATTGGGGGGGACATATTTATGGTGACCTGTCAGGTGCAGGGAGCGGGCTGGGACCTTTGCCCATCATCCAACTCATATATTAATATTCCCATATATTAATAAGCCTGGAGAGGCAGCCGGTCCTGTGGTCCTAGGAAGGCCGCAACATCCCTGAAGCAGGAGCAGATACCAGAGGAGGGAGGATCCCTCTCCCCGGACCCTCCCCCCATTTCTTTCTTTCAGTCTTTTTTTTTTTTCCCCTTGCATTGAACTTTATTTTGCAGACCACTCCATCTTTGGCTGGGAAGCTCCATTAATTGCCACGGTTTTCCTTCTCACCTGGTCCCTTGGTCATTATTTATGGCCTTGAAAATCGCTCAAAGATCCCTCGATGTCCGATTTACAAGTTCGAGGGCTTTTTAATTTTTCTTTTTTTTTTTTTAATTTTTCTTTTTTTTTTCCCCTTTTTCCTCCCCACCGATCCACCTTTTGTCCCACCGAAGGCGTCGTGTTGGCCGGGGGGCCTGAGCCGGCCCCACACGTGAGGGCTTCTCCCCGGCGCGGGAGGCAGCGGCGGTCGCTTTTAATTCCGCCCCGCGTGGCTGAATGGCTCCTTTACATAATTGCAGCCGCGATTTCAAAGCCGAGCCAGGGGCTGACTTTACCCTGAACCACATGGAGCCTATTTGGGGGCTTTTCAGAGCTAAAAAAAGAGAGAAAAGGCGTGAATAAAACAGCGTTGTTCTTTTTCTTTCCTTTTTTTTTCTTTTCTATTTTCTATTTTCTTTTCTCTTCTTTTCTTTTCTCTTACTTTCTCTTCTTTTCTTTACTTTTCCTCCTTTTTTCTTTAATTTTTCTTTTATTTTTCTTTTTTCTTCTTTTCATTTTTAGGGCGGTTTTCGCCGCTCCAAACCTCCCTGTCCAGCGGGGA